CAGTGATCTTAGTCAAATCTGGCACCATGGTCTTTAACAATGACAGCAAAACTCAAGCCTGCATGCCAAAGTAAAACTTAATTGTCTTCCTGCATTGTTGTGCTCGACCGTTTTTGAAATGACATTTCAAACATTGCCTCACACTTGGCCTTTTGTATACCATGTGATTTTGAAAAGCAGCAGTCTCCATGCTGTGTCTCCAGAGCCCATTGTATACCCTGAAGTCCCTCTAGCCCAGTGATGACGAACCTATGGCACACATGCCACAGCTGGCACACAGCCCTCTCTGTGGGCACATGAGCCATAAGTCACTATAGAGAAATATTTATCTGTCCTCAGATGCCGGATTTTGGCACTCCCCTCTGCTGGTGCAGTGGTCCAGCAGAGGGGTGCAATGGCGACCATTACCAGTCTAGCCCAATGGGGGATTGGAGGACCAGTAAGTATTTTTTTGTTAATACCACCTATTGGGGGGGGGGGAGAACAAGCATTTAACCCTTGCAGTGCAGGAGCAGTTGTTTTTTCTAAACTAAACCCTCAGGTTTTAAATGCAGTATTGGCACTTTGGAATAAATAAGTTGATTTTGTGTTGCGCTTTGGGCACTCAGGCTCAAAAATGTTCGCCATCACTGCTCTAGCCTCACATAGTCTCTCCCCCATGTAGCAGTGTATGCTGTGAGAGATACATTTTTAAAGTGAATTATTGAGAAAACATCCCTGGCAGGGCTCAATATCTTAATCGCTCAGTAAAACTGAACATTCATTTTTAATATTTAACATTCCGTCTAGCATTAACTTGACCACTGGTGTTGGCAAGTGTGAAGGAATAAAAAGCACATGACTGTTTTCTCTGTCTTTAGCAAAAAGCTTTCATTTAAATTTGTTCTTATTTCTAGTCCACATACTGTTTGTCTTCACCGGACAATACCCATGAGGCAAAAGTCCGTGAGCTGCTGGAGGGAACAAGTCATACTCTCACATGGGCTTCTGTCCTTTCTTCGATCTGAGAGCTAGGTAGTTTCACTGGCCTTGCACATGTTTGCCACATAACAGCCAAAATTATGACTTCTCATTCTCGTATGTCTCCTGCAGTACAAATGCCATTCCCCACTTCTCTCCTCCAAAACTTTCTTCTTGCGATGAAGAACTAGCTTTAGTCCTGAAAAGATGAGACCAAGTGAAGTCAGTGGAACTTTTGCTACTGCTTATGGCTACCACATCCCACTTGTGTCACATCTACTTCCTATTGTCATTTCCCCGTAATTCTTGCAGTGCTTTCATGATATCAAAGCATCTTAAGGAACCAGCCATGAAGCTTCAAATCTTGCATTCTGGTGTGTCTGCTTGATAGCTATAGTGCTTATTCAGCATCGGTTTAGTGTGAAAAGTATGGATCAAGCAATAGCGGTGGCTTGCCAGAAGTGGCCTTTCCGGTTGCAAGTCACCACAAAGTTGTAGAAGGTTTAATACACAGAGACATTCTTGTGGTAGTAGACTGGTGTTTTTTGTTTGTTTGTTTTTTTTGAATTGGCTGAAAGAAGAAGCAGTGTCTCTGCAACATTTTCATCCATTTGTGGGTATATATATTATATACTCCCATACATACATGATTCATGGCTCCAGACCACTAGTAACAATTTCATTTTCACATAACCTGTTTTTATGTCTCTCTTGCCTGTGTTTATGCTATCCTGCACAATTTTCGGCTTCTTTACAGTTCTCGAATTGGCTTGCAGCTCATTTATAGTGCTCTGATAGTGAAAGGTCATGCATGGGGCTGTCAAACACGATTGTGAAAAGAATATTGGCTGGCTAGGGAGTCTGACGTTGAATGAAACTGCATGTGTCTGTTTAAAAGGGTAGGGCAAAGGGTTTAGAGTAATGGATGTTCTTTGCTCAGGACTTTTAAAGGATATTTGACAAATTATTAGGATGGTCTTGACCTACTGTTGTTGAATTTGTTCTTTGCGTGTTGCCAAATCTTACTAAGTTCTGCTATTTATTTGTGTGTAATACTTATATCTTTCTTCATGTAGTTCAAGATGGCCTCTTGCGTGTACAGTACCTAGATTATCTACCCAATCTCCAGCACCCACCACGTCCTTTACCATGCTGCCACCAGTTGATCTCTTTACCAACTATGTTTACTGTGAAAGACTGTCCACTTAACTTTGAAATAAGAAATAAGGTTTATTGGTTACAAGTTGTTTCATGAATAGTTCTTAAGCACATTTTAAAGTTACACAAAGTGTTCACTATATTCCTTTAACCTCTTCTATGCTTAACTAATATAGATAACACTCTGACTGTTCACTCACTAAAATCTCTCTCCGCCACAAAACTCCCAAACTATCTCTCTCTCCCTCTTCAAACTCTCCACTCCTTTTTTCTCTATATTCCCCCCCACTCTCTGCTTCAGCCCCCCTTCTATGCAGCTGACTCCGCCTCCCAACAGCTCCCTATTGGTTCATGCAAATACACAGAAGAATAGGCATGACACTACAATTAATCTCTTGGGAATATCTTGATTTTAAGGGTTGGGGTGTGATGATGGGAATAGGGTCTAATGGCCTTCTAGTAACTTCACCACTTGCAGGTCTTTCATAATGAATTCACAGAGAGTCATTTTCACTTGCAAAGATAGAAACTAAAATTCTAATAGTGTATAATCCTATAGACTCCCCAATCATAGCTCTATATATCTTCTTCACAAGGTACTAGAGATACAGTCCATACACTTGCATTTATGAGTTGTTTGACAGTCATTTCTTTGTATAGTCTCAGGCTTGTAGTTCTCTCTGGCATGGATAAATCTCGTGGAAGTTGGATATGGAAAATCTCCCTCAGAGCAGAAGTCCAGGAGGAAGTTATGATGGACAGGTCTTTGTGATAGCTCACAGCAGGAGTCTTCTTTAATGGCCTCCTTTCTTTTCCTCTGTTTCTCCAATTCTGATTAAAAAAATATAAAGAACAACTAATTGAAATCTTACCGTGTAGGATAACCAAAACACTAGTGACTGGCAGTTTTCACTGAAAAGTATACTGTGTAGCAATGTACAATCCCGTTTTCTCTTTCTAAAATAACAATTTGTCTTCTCTTTGGTCAGTGTTGATGGATCCACAGCAGTGGAATTTTACATTGTCAGTCATAAAACAAAAGCACGTTTAAAGACATCCTTAAAGAGGATACAGTGGCGCCCCGCTTAACGATTACCCTGTTCCACGACGAATCCACTTCACGATAATGTTTTTGCAATCACAAAATGATGTTTAAATAGGAAAAAACCGCTTGACGATGATCAGCTCCCTGCTTCGGGAACCGATTTTTCGCTTTACGACGATCTAAAAACAGCTGATTGTCGGGTTTCAGAATGGCCGCCCGCTGTACAAAATGGCTCCCCGCTGATTTCAGGACTGATTTTTTGCTTAACAGGCACTGGAAAATGGCCGCCCTATGGAGGAACTTCGCTGGACAATGAGGTATTTCGCCCATTGGAATGCATTAACTGGTTTTTAATGCATTTTAATGGCGTTTTTTCCCCCGCTTGATGACGATTTTGTCCTACAGCGATTTTGCTGGAACGTATTATCATTGTCAAGCGGGGCACTACTGTATTTTCAGTTGAACAAGAGGACCATGGGAGGCATTCGGTATTTGTTTTAAGAAAATTGGGATGAGAATGGTGTTGGCTGTGAAGTTTTGTCCTGAGCTATTGCACCTCTCAGATTTGTACACCATTCTTCCTCCTAGAGTAGTGGTTCCCAACCTTGGGTACTGAGATGTTCTTGGACTAAACCTCCCAGAAGCCTTCACCACTAGCTGTGCTGGCCAGGATTTCTGGGAGTTGTAGTCCAAGAACATCTGGAAACCCAAGGTTGGGAATCATTGTTCTAGAGCTTGCTGCGCAACATGATGGTTCAGGAAAGTAACCAGTACCTCATTAATGAGGAGCAGTTTGCTGCCACAATCTTTGCAATTTCCCTAATACATTTGTTTTGACCAGCTGTTGTATCCAGATTTTTGCCTTATGCTGTTACAAACCGACTATCCAGAAGTAGCCAACTTGGAGCGCTTCTCCTGATATTGACAGTGACTTCAACTCTCCTTTTGCCTGCCTCCTGTTTAGTTTATTCCCCACTGATTAGAATTTTTGCTTTCTTTCTCAATTACATATTTAATGTTGTTTAAAAGAATTCTTGGTGATAATAGACAAATCAGTGTAGCTATGACACATAATATAATTGCGCTACTGTTTCCTTTGAATTAAACTGAATATTAAACCTTCACATCATAGTAACTGCAAACGTACTCTCCCTTCATTTCACTGGCTCTTACATGTTTCTTACATGGGGACTATTTATAATATTCCTCACCATAGGGAAAATGTCTGCTAGAAGGTTTGTTGTACAGTGCTGCATCTCCCATGTTTTAAGCAATGGTGAAATGAGGTCAGACACAAGCTGCAGGGGAGTTCCATTCTGGGCTGAAAGACACATACTGTATATATATCATCGTGATATAGCTCTTGCTCGTGCTTGGTTGGAGCCTGACTTGATAATAAGCTTAGTTTAGCCTTGTTCTGGTGAAGCCAGCCTTGATGCAGCCTCATGCTTAGGGAATCACAACCCTTCTAATGACTATAACTTAAGAAGGGGGAATCTTATAACCCAGTAGTTCCAAAATGTTGAGGGAGGCATCCCCCTGTCTCACTCATAAGGGGTCCATATGCTGTAATAAAATAACGGTGATGTATTTCTGGAAATGTGAATTAGTTGATTGGATGGAGTGTGTAATGGATTTTCTCTGCTGGGAGTTGTAGTAACCTTGCTCCGGAATGCCTAATGGGAGACCAACCAGGCAGTAAAAAAGGCGACTGACTTCTCTTGTCTTCTCTCTCCCCACCTATGTCCCCCTTTGTGAGGGGGCCCCCCCTCTTTTCACTGTTCTTCCACATTGGCCCCATGCACAACCCGTCTGGCATCTTCTTCCTTTTTTCCAGTGCACCCATCCAAGTAAGGAGGAGAAGGAGAGAATGGCTCAGATTCTCCAGATGGAGATTCCCAACTTTGGTAACAGCATTCTGGAGTGCCTGAATGAGCAGCGGTTGCAGGGCCTGTACTGTGATGTCTCGGTGGTGGTGAAAGGCCATGCTTTCAAGGCACACAGGGCTGTGCTAGCTGCTAGCAGCTGCTACTTCCGGGACCTTTTCAACAATAGCAAGAGCACGGTGGTGGAGCTTCCTGGTGCCGTACAGCCACAGTCCTTCCAGCAGATCCTCAGCTTCTGCTACACTGGCCGCCTCAGCATGAATGTGGGCGATCAGTTCCTGCTCATGTACACGGCAGGATTCCTGCAGATCCAGGAAATCATGGAGAAGGGGACTGAGTTCTTCCTGAAGGTCAGCTCGCCCAGTTGTGACTCCCAAGGCTTGCACGCTGAGGAGGCGCCTTCATCTGAGCCACAGAGCCCTGTGGCCCAGACGTCCACCTGGCCCTCTGGCAACACCCCCTTGCCCTTGGTCTCTCGCGTAAAGACAGAGCAGCAGGACTCAGACTCTGTCCAGTGCACATTTGTGGTTAAACGGCTCTGGGAAAGCAGCCAGAAAGAAGGGGGAGGTGGTGGCGGTGGCGGCAGTAATGGGAGCCGTAAAATGGCCAAGATCTCCTCCCAGCAGGATTTGAGTGGGGGTAACAGGCAGGCCCAGCAGCAGCAGCAGCAACAACAGCAGCAGCAGCAACAACAACAGCAGCAGCAGCAGCAGCAGCAACAACAACAACAGCAGCAGCAGCAGCAGGGGAACCTAACCGGTGGAGGTGGAGGGGCAGGTGTGGTCAGTGGCCCCAGCACTTCAGACCAGACCAGTCCTGGCACCTCCAGTGCTTACACCAGTGACAGCCCCAGCTCCTACCACAATGAGGAAGATGAAGAGGAGGATCCTCCTGAGGAGGGCTCCGACGAACAGTACCGGCAGATCTGCAACATGTACACTATGTACAGCATGATGAATGTAGGACAGACGGGTGAGTGTCAGCTGTGGGTTACTGAGGAGTAGCATTCTAGGTCTCATTCCCCAAAGGAAAACAATGTGTTGAACTTCAACGTCTGCCTGTGTTTTTATGAAACACTTGTACAAGTAGTCAGGAAGATTTTGGAGGAAGTGGATTTGCTTAGAGTGTGGGCCTTTCACATTTTACCTCAGAAATGGGTACATGGCAAATATTTATTGCATCCACTTCTGCACTTGATGACACTGAGGCACAGTCTTTTCCCTCAAACAGGAAGCTGAAATGCCCAGAAGGGAGTTTAATATAGCTTTTTCTTGGCCTTGACTCTGTCATGTATTTCCTTCAGTATTCATGGAGTGTGAAAACAAACCCACAAACATACATTCATCTTGCATATTATACAGTAAAAATGGCTGTGTGTTAAATATTCTAGCTAGCAAGTAGCCGCTCCTGCTATAGTATGTGACATACGCCTGACAGAGTAGCTTAGCGTCAATCTTAGAAGTTTCCTTTGAGGGGAGAGTGTGTTTTTCAGTAAAGTCATTTAATTCTACGCTTCTCATAATCCAGCCCCTAAATTCTTATAAAGTAAACTGCCCTGTCTAGACCAAACCAATAGTTTTGTGGTAACTGGAGATAAATGTCTAAATATTAATTATATCGATAACCCAGTGAGGGAGTCTAAATGAATTCTGCAGTTTGAAGGTGTAGCTTTATAGAGAAGAGAGTGGCCAGAGCTTTGAAGCTGTACGTGTCAGAGCGGCCAAGCAAGGGAGTGTTTTTCTACTGGGGATTTTTCTCAGGTTCTTACTGTGAACATGCTCTTCTGTGTTAATATGACATGCGGTTTTATGTGGATGTTAAACGAATTGGGGCAAGGTGGTATCCTGAAAGACATGACAGTCTAACAGCTGTTGTATCTCATGGGGTTGGGGGTTTTCCTCTGGCCCTGTGTCCTGAGTGTGCCCTGCCATGAAGAATGGCAGTCACCAAAAAGAGTATCTCCAAGTCCCATCCCAAACAGTGACTCAGACAGCTATCATGGCTGATATTTGTGAAGGCTACCAAGAGGTCCCACAGAACTGAGAGAAGCACTTCCCCGCTGTCTAATTCCTGGTATAAAATTGCCTACCAAGTTCACCGAGTAGTTCCTCTTCCATAATGAGGCTTGAAGCCAGATTGGAAAGAAGTCTCTGTAATCCTTCTCACCTGGAACTCCTAGACCTAAAACGCAATCCACATGCTTCAATATTTTGCCCAAGAACTGAATATTGGAAATTGGCTGAGGGCATAGAATAGGGTGTGTTTAAGAGAAGGTTAAAAAAAAGTGGTCCCAATACTCACTTAAAGAAGTTTCTTGTAACATCAGTGATCACTAGTATTCCCACCCTTTGCCATTTGTGGAACAGATCCAAAGTGTAAGTTCATACCTACCTCTTTGCTCTTGGCAGAGGAAGAGCTCATGCTGGTCACCCCCATTTAAAAGGCCAGTGGTGCCAAATGCTGCAATGTGTAAATCCAAGGGTTTGGTGAATCTACAAGTGTAATAATTCTGTGTACAAATGCAGCCGGGGGAACACTGATTCAGAAGCTTTCGGGGGGGGGGAAGCATATTCCTGTTTCGATTTCATTACATGTACTTCCATTCCATGCTTGATTGTCACACGCTTTCTTTGCAGTTTTACCCTTCTTCTCCCCTGTCTTCTTTGCCCAGCAGAGAAAGTTGAAGCCCTGCCAGACCAGGTGCAATCAGAGTCTCGCAACCGGATACGGGTGCGGCAGGACCTGGCCTCCCTGCCTGCTGAGCTCATCAACCAGATAGGGAACCGGTGCCATCCTAAGTTGTATGATGAAGGTGACCCAGCTGAAAAGCTGGAACTTGTGATAGGTAAGAGAAGTGCCTTGATCTGTGCACTGTGTGTGTGTGTGTGTGGGGGTGTAAGTATGTAGGTTTCAAGTTGCACATAGGTGGTAAGAAAAAAATCTCTGTTATTTCTTGACTAAGAGTCATTCCAGTCTAAAGTACTAATAAAAGTGGCACCCACTGGTAGCTGTGAGCAGGCTCATGCTAAGCATTGCATTTCATGTGCTCTCATCATAATTACAGTCCTGTGCAGGCATTACAGAGGTATGTACATCGGATATGAGGTGGAAGGCACTGCTTCCATCCCTCTGTCTCCAGTTCTATCACCTACACAATGTATGGAAAGGGACAGTCCGAAACATACTTCCTCCGCTAGCTTTAAAGCAGTGGTGTCCAACTTTGGCCCTCCAGAGGTTCTTGGACTTCAACTCCCAGAACTCCTGGCCAGCAGAGGTGGTGGTGAAGGCTTCTGGGAGCTGTAGTCTAAGAACATCTGGAGGGCCAAGGTTGGACACCACTGCTTTAAAGCCTTCCCATGTGGTTTGGAACTTTGGGAGTGCTGAGGTTCTGACTTGCATGGAGAGCTTCTTCAGATAGCTCTCCACCTCAGACTGCTGCCTTTCAGAGTGTTGAGGGCAACATGAAAGGGCAGTGGAAGTAGCTAACCCACTCTCTGTCCCTGGGCTTAATTTAGACACAAAACAAATAAGGCTTGCATTGTATCTTTTCAACTCTGCAAAACTGCTGAGAACCGTGGTGATATTTGGGTAACCTGGACCCTGCCCCACTTTGGAAGTGTTCTGTTTCCTCAACGTTTACTCCCCCTTTCTCTTTTCCTTATCCAGGTACCAATGTGTACATCACTCGGGCACAGCTGATGAATTGTCACGTCAGTGCTGGGACGCGGCACAAAGTGTTGCTCAGGCGGCTACTAGCATCCTTCTTTGACCGGTGAGTTTTTCAGGAAGGGGAGTAAGGTTTTCTTCCTTGCCCCTCTCAGGATCCCTCGGTTCAAGAAGCCTTGTCAGAGTGAGGAAGGGGAACCAGTACTTCGGATGAAGCTAATTGAAAATGGAACTGGTAGTGAGGGGAGGGAAGCTGCTAGATATGCAGTCTGTTGGGTTTATAATTGCTTTCTCTTTTAACTGCTTGCCAGGAACACCCTTGCCAACAGCTGTGGCACCGGAATTCGCTCTTCCACCAATGACCCTAGCCGGAAACCTCTTGACAGCCGGGTGCTGCATGCTGTGAAGTGTGAGTGTTTGTTAAGGAGATCCACCAGTGGGGATGGTGGGAGTGCAAGGGTAGATGATCAAAGCCTTCTTGAGAGGTAGGCAGTGAGGTTGTGCATTTAGGTCTGTTTCCCCAAGACAACAGGTTGTAACATTGCAGTCTGTCAGTCTCTAAGGTGGCATGCTGGTCCCTAGTGATCACAGCAGAAGAGACCAATTTTGTTCTGCATTTAAAAACTTTGGAAGGTGGGTCCTTTTATCCCAGCTGATGCTGTGCTTGTGAATTTGATCATGTGTTGTTTATGATAGGAGTCTTTGTGGGCTGGAGTGGGTATGGCTCTTATGAAACTTTGCCTAAGGGCTATGGGAATATGTCCTATTGCTGTTCAAGTAGCCCTGATCATGGTGTGCATTTTTTTCCCCTTGTTTAGTTTATTGCCAGAATTTTGCCCCCAACTTCAAAGAGAGTGAGATGAATGCCATTGCTGCTGACATGTGCACAAACGCACGGCGCGTAGTCCGTAAGAGCTGGATCCCCAAACTGAAACTACTGATGGCTGAGGGTGATACCTACACAACCTTCATCAATGACACTGGCAAGATGGAGCCAGACATAATGGGGGTGGAGCACAGCTTCGAGACGGGCAGCCATGATGGTGACGCAGGCACCTCCAGCGAGGGCCTCCAGTAAAACCTGCCCACCTCTTTTGTTTTTCCTCAGTCAGTGGTTTTTATTTCCTAATCTGATTTTTTGTAGAATTGTTTTCCACCCTTTCCCCCCCCATTTCCTTTTATTTTATTTTTTGTTGTTGTTGGTTTGTTTTTGTTTCTGCAGAGGGGAAGGAAAGCATTTCACTGTTTCCTTTTTTTAAAGATTCTTAAACATGGGCCTTGTGTCCTTCATCACCACAGGTAGTAGGAGCTCAGAGGGGAAGCCCTGCTGATGTAAAGGCAGTGCTGGCTGGCATTTTTCCCCCCACCCTTACCCTGCCATTCCTCTATCCTTGTGCTATGAATTGTTCTTAGACATATATTCTAATAGAAAACCATATTGAAAACCAAATCCATTTACAAATAAAGGCCATGATCCTTTATTCATGATCCAGGGAAGTATTGTCTCAAAGTGCTGCCTCTTCCTTCATCAGATCTAGTTCTCTCCCAGAAAGGGCTTTGACTTGGGCTGATCGTCAGATCTTTGCTCAGGTCCATATCAGAGAGTTGAAGTATCCTTGTGCCATGAGAAATGCAAACAGAGGCGGGATTGAACCTGGTGCTGCTGTCATATCAGCCTCCCCTTCCTCAACTGCCCTCCTGCCTTCTCTCGCTTAGGCACGTTCAGGTTTACACAGAAAGGCAGTCTCTCCTCTGTCATTGTAAGTATCCTTCCCTACACACACATAGATGCCCTCTACTTTATGTACTCCCTGAGCCTATGTATTTTCTCCACTCTTGTAATTGTGTTTAAAAAAAAAAAACAATTGAAGTACAACTAAGTTCAATTATGACCATAACTTAAGGATTGCTTCACTCCTTTTCCAATGTAACTAACAGTTTCAATTACTTTTACAGTTACAGGGTGCGTATGTCCTCAGCTACTGTGTTTGAAGCTGATTGGTTTTTTTATAAATCACTTAACCAAGCCCTGCCAATTCTGTAGCTGCCCTTTATTTTGTCCAGTAAGTTTGGACTGCCTAGCTTGGCTACCAAATTGGTAACATATAGGCCAAACCAGTATAGTAGAGCAGTCATCTGTTGTTTTCAGTGGTACAGGGATCCATGAAGCTAAGAAGGTGAATTGTTTCCTAAATTTTATAAAAAGAGGCATAAATTTAAAAAATATGCATCCTCTTCTGAGGTGGCTGTGAGGCCTTCGGTTCTCCCAGCCCTAGCTACCATTGCCTAACTGAAATGCTGGGGTTTCACCTGGGCTGCAGCTTGTTTATTAGCTTTCAGTCAGAGTGTGTGTGTGTGACTCTGTGGGTACAAGGCCAATACATGTTGTCGTTCTAGAGGCGAGCGCAGAAAGGCTTTTGTCGGGTTCCCTCTGCTGTCCCAGTTGGGAAAGGTTCCTAGAGTGTCCCTTTTGCAGTGCCGTCAGTCAAAGGGCTAGCACCCTCCAGTCTGTGCTGTCGGATGTTGGTCAAAGAACTAGCCGTCTTTTCTGTTTCTTTTATACCAAAGGTCGTGAAGGGCAGGAATTGGTTTCGGAAAGAAAGGGCAAAGGCCAAAGGAAATATAGCACCCCTTCCTTGGCTCCATCAATGCCAGAAGCTCCCCAGCGTGTGGAGATGTTGGAGGGCAGTGTCCATGTCTCCAGGCCAAGGAAGGGGTGAGCTTAGACTTTCAAGGCCGCTGCCGCCTTCAGTTCTGTATGTAGCTCCCCTAGCCACCAACAGATACCTAACTGCAATGTGACATTTCACCTCTTTTCTACCCCCCCCAATTTTTCATTCTTGATCCCCCCCTTTTTTTAAAGGTTTATGTGAAGTGTTTGATCCATAGTATGTATCTCCCGTGCTTTGGTATCTTGAAATGAGAAGAAAATGGGGCAATGCAGGAAGTAGGGACTCTGGTCCAACTGGATGATCTTTAGTTATGACTGGAGTTAAGCTCCTCCCCTTTTTGCTTTTTTGTGTGTGTATGGTGTAAGATAAAAACGCATAGTCACATTGGAGGAATCTCTCTCCTCACTGGAAATATTTTTAAAATGTTTATTCTTACTGCAAATGAACGCCTTTGTCCCAGCACTGTATATCTTCCAGAAAGAGCCTTTGCAAAATTCTCCAAACCTTCTGTTTTTAACCTTCCTTTAACCCTGCTATTTCAGGGAATTCTAGGGTTGGGGCTGAGTTCCTCAAATGCTCTTGCACCTTAACCACTGTCAGGACCGTGTCATGTAGATTCCTTTGTAAATTAAAGCAAATTGGGCTAGGGAAAAAGCCCACTGACACCCCCCCCCAAAAAGGGTTTGCCATTGGGTTTCTATCCTTGTTTGTAAAGGGATGTGACTCTGAAGAGGCTTTGTCATCTCTTGTGAAATAACCCCTTTATCAACTTTTAAAACAGGTGTAGTAGATAAGATCTGCTCTGCTTGGGTGTGTTTCACTTTGAAGAGTTGCAGTCATCAGAATCGTCCTGTTTCGTAAAGAAGAGAATCTGTAGCAGAAACATCCTGTCCTTGATGCAAAATTGGCTGCTCTTAGAGACATCTCTTTCTTTGGGGGAGGGGGGTTGGGAAAAGCATATTAATGCCCCTCATTAAGCACTGGTTGTTAGTCTGTGTGTATAAAGGGAAGGCTGTTTTCAGTTGTCACAGACCAATGTGTTCAATCATTTTGTGGGAGGAGGAAAAAGAGGAGTCTGCGGTGACTATTTCATGTATTAATTAGGGTGGTTAGATGTTTCACAAGCAACATGTACTGTACTGAAATTCTCCTTTTTAACAGATTTTATTTGTAATTTGGACTCCTGAACCCTGAGAAAATTTCTGCAACCTTAAGGATCAAATACTAAGCAATATTTGCCTGGAAGTAGGTTCCATTGAACCCTTCTCAATGTAACTACTTCTGAAGAGGCAGATGATAATAAGATCTGCACTGCATTGATACATTTTGAGTCTCAACATTTTGGCTAGAATGCTGATCTGGCAGCTTGACAAAAATGATCCCTTTAATCTTAAGACATGTGTCTGATTTGCGCATCACACAATAGTTAATAAATTGCTTCATCCTGAAAGAATTTGTTTCTACTTCAGAGCATGGTGTTGGTTTTCTTTTGTGTAGGGTTGGCAGTCCAAGCACTGTACTGTAGTTGTTTCTAATAATCTCTTGAAAGCATTTTCTTTTCCTGCCACTGGGGGGAGACAAAGGTACACAGGAAGGTACAACCAAGCAAAAGGGGTTTTGTAAATTTTGCTGGATGCTGAACACCTGAGGATGCTGTGGTTTAGCCCAGGAGGCTGCTCTTGCTGTGAAATGTTTCTACAAATAAGGCTGGCTATCATCGAGATTTACTGTAGCTAATTTACATTACAAATTTAAGCCAGTTCTATACAGTATTGGTTTCATTTGGGTAGCTTCCTGCAAAGGATCCTACAAATGGCAATTTGTTGACTTGCTGAAAATTTCCTTCTCTGGGTTTTTGCCTGGGGCCCTGTTCCCAGGGCTCCTTTGGCGGGACTGCAGATAGAGTGAGTGAATTTTGCAAAGTAACCATGTTTAGTCACTAGCCAGTCTCAGCGTCTGCCTCACGCTTGGAAAAAGGCACGACCCATTTTGTCCAGACCTGAAAACTACCAGGCTTATGTTATGATGGTTTAAAACTTAAACCATTTTCATTTCTTTCCAGAATCCTTTTTTCTTCTTCTCTTCTCCCGCTATTTCCTTTCATGTAGCAAAGGGATCTTTTGTCATTCAGTCAGCAGTAGACCTTTATCATATTATTAATTTTATTGTATGTACGGCCATTTATATAAATAAGTCCATTCACTTCATTCTTGATTTCTATTTTCCTTTCAAGAAGATGAAGTGATAAATAAGTTAAAACCAAATAGACATTTGTTTAGAAACCTGATGGAGTATGTGTATAGTTTATTTAATTACACAAAGCAATCTTTAAACATACTCTGCTTAAAAAAAGATAGGGAATAATGCATGTCTTTGGAAGGGAATGAATGTTCCTATTTGTGTAAGTCTCCTACCAATTCTTCTTGCCTGATTTCTCAATCTGAGAAAGAAAATCTAATGAGTCCCTCCCCCCCCCCCACTTCAAGTTTCTTACAGTTCATTGCAGGTGGTGATCATTTTGTATCATTTCAGGATCTCAGATCTGGCAGTGCTTTTGAGTCTATTGCTCTCACAAACAGCAGCTAAGTATATTGATACCTATATATGGATTTATAGTGCAGGCACTCTGTGGATTACTCCTCAGGTTTTGTAGAGACTATCTCGATGCAACATGATGACAACTGTAGAAAGAATACACTAATAGCCAGAACTCACAATATAATGGATGTAAACGCTTTGCTAAGAGATTCTGTTTCCACATCCTAGACTCATAGAATAATTGAGTTGAAAGACACCTATAAGGCTATTGTATCTAATATCCTGCTCAATGCAGGGGTACAAATCAAAGTATATCTGACAAATGTTTGCCCAGTTTTTTCTTGAATGCCTCTAGCATTGAAGCTCTCACCACTTCCTGAGGTGATCGGTTCCATTGTTGTACTGTTCTAACAGTTAAGAAGTTTTTTATGGAATTTAGCCTAAACCTGGTTTCCTGTAAGTTGAGCCCATTGTTGCGTGTCCTGCACTCTGGGATGGTTGAGAACAGATTCTGTTCCTTCTTTCTATGACTAACTTCCAAGTACAGTGGTGCCTCGACTTACGAACATCCCTACTTACGGTCATTTTGAGTTATGACCAGCTCTGGCCACAAAATTTTGCTTTTACTTGCGACCGGAGCTTCCAATTACAAACAT